CGCAAGACGCACTTGCCGTTGGTCCAGTCGTAGGCCTCCTGCGCCGTGCACTCGGCGACTGCGGTCGGGTTCGAGAGCGGAAACACGATCGGCATGTCGACGTGCTTGGCCATTTCCGTGAGCGCTTCCTGTCCATCCATTTCAAAATGAGATGGTGCATGGCATCATTCGTTCGGTACCTTGGTGAAGGCGCCCTTGGCCGCCGAGAGACCGAGCAGCATCGTCGGCTTGACTTGCTTGATGAGCTCGACCAGCGACGTCTTGTCCGGAAGGTCACTCCGCGCGAAGAACGTCTGGCCCGACGTCATGCCGTCCCGCGCCGTCGTCATGAGACCGTGCTGGTCGACGACGTAGAAGCGGCGACGCGCCTCTTCGACACCGACGCCTTCCTGCAGCATGCCCTGCAGCAACGTCGTCGAGACACCGAGACCTGCGCTGCCCGCCCCCAAGACTACGATGCGCTGGTCTTTCAGCGGCGTCTGCACACGGGCGCAGGCCGAGAGCGCGCCCGCCAGCACGGTCGCGCCCGTGCCTTGAATGTCGTCGTTGAAGCAGAGCTGCTTGAGACGGTACGCGGCAAGCACGTCGGCGGCGTGGTCACTATCAAGAAAGTATCAAGAAAGTATCAGAATCACCCATACATCAAGAAATCGTACCTGGAAAAGTCTTCAAACTGAACCAGTGCGCGCGGCCAGCGGTGACGCACGGCGCGCATGAACTCGTCGATCATGCTCCAAAAGTCGTCGCCTTCGAGGCGGCGATGCTGCATGCCCATGTAGTACGGGTCGTTGAGGAGCGACTCGTTGTTGGTGCCCGTGTCGAGGACCACCGGGAGCACCTTCTTCGGGTCAATCCCGCCGGCCGCCGTGTAGAGTGCGAGCTTGCCGATCGGGATCCCCATGCCGTTGACCTACCATGCATATTGCTGCATGAGCACTCTCCGTCAGTAGAGAGAATATGGACATACGCCAAGATCGCCGAGGCCGAGAATGCGGCTGCCGTCGGTGACGACAATGACTTCCACGTCGTCGCACGGCCAGTTGTACACTAGTAGAGCATACTATTGAGCAAGGCGTCCGTAACGAGTTGAGAGGGACGTACTCATGGACGCGAATTGCGAGCGGTCGGCCGAGCTAAAGTACATGCCACGCGGGCGACGGAACATGGAGCCAAACTTTTGGCACACTTGGCCGACCGTGGGCGTATACACCACCGGGGCTAGTCGAGTCTTATCTCCATGCGATCGAGAAAACGCGACGTACCCATCTCTTCGATGTTGTCGATGAGGAGGCGGAAGAAGAGCGTCTCGTTGCGGTTCTGGAGCTCCGAGAGGAAGATGCTCTTCCGAAGCGGGTCGGGCTCTTGCTGGAAGAGGTCGTAGAGCTTCTCGAGCTGCGTCTTCATGACGAGGCGGCGCGGCGGCACGAGGCCGCGGAGGCCCAAGCGGTCACGCTCGACGGCCTTGAAGCCCGTGCCCTTGTTGTACAGCGGGTCGTGCACGATGTCGATGCCACGCTTGCCCGCGCGGACCGGCGGCTGGTACTTCTTGACCTTGGTGATGTTCTCCGAGCTGTACTCGTCGTCGGCTTCGTACGGCGCGAGGAGCGTCCGCGTCGTCGTCAGCGCCCGCGCCGGCGTCCGCGACCGGAGGAGCGTTTGGCGCAGCATGATGCAGGGTTGGAAGTGGCTCCAGTCGCTGGATTTCTGCCACTCTCTCAAGGAGAGTGAGAGGAGAGTGCACTTCGCTTCCGGATTGGCCAAACTCACGTGTCGCCATGAGAAAAGTCACCAATCATAGCGCGGCGGCTCCTGACAGCCAATCAACGGCGAGGGGATGGCGCTGAAGGGATGTGCCCACGTTGAAGTGCGAGGAGCGCTCGCTGGATCTGGTCGGCGGCGGCTGGTTGTACCAGTAGGAACACGTAGCAGCAGGCGCGTTGGCTGTGGCCATCGCGCAAGCACGGACGCGACTTATGAGCCCTCATGCTATAAGTCCATTGATGCTTGTCCAGCGTGTTGGATGGCAGCGGCTGCGGGTGCTGCGTGGTATGGGCACCGAAGGTCACGGAGAGTGGGAGCCACTCATTGGACTCGAAAGGTGTCCCGAAGCGACTGTGTCACATGGGTAGTGTCACCTGCCTGTCCACGGCGCACTGCGATGTGGCACACCGCTCGAATCGCGCGCACGCTGTCTCCGCTCAAGCCATGGCAACGCAGCCGCGTGCGGCACTTGTTGGAGATGGCGTGGCCTCGCACCGCCGTGTCCTCTGCTCCAAGTGGACCAACGACGAACGCCGAGAGGTCGAGGCAGCGGAGCATCGAGCACCTCAAGATAGAGTGCACGGAGGGTTTTGATGCGCTCGAGGTGAGAGCGTCCGCGATGCAGGCACGTTGACCTTTCTTTCGAAGCCTGGAGACCCAGCCCAGCCCGACCAGCACCATTTCGACGTCGCATCCACCCAGCCCACGAGCGATACATGATCCTTGGCGCAGTGCTCTCTCGCAGACCGTTCAAGCTATTGTCGTCGCATACAAATGCCTCCAAGGACGCAACGGTCGCAGCGTGTTGATCGACGTCGCAAAGGCACTCGCTTAGCTCGGGTGCTCATGCTGCGTGTGCACCCAAACGCGTCCGCCATGACGTGGCGGCACCTCCGCTCGCCCTTGCTTTGAAAGCGCAACGACGGTGCCACGTTGTAAAGCGATGCTCGTAGACGCACTCAATGCGATCCTCCGGGTCGTTTTACCTACGCGCTCAGTATTGTCATCCGCACCGAACCTAACGACGAAGGAAGGCGCATCGCACCAAACCTAAAGCGAAACGCGGCGCTCCATACCATGAAGCATCTCTGGTTCCTCGAACATCGTTCGCAAAGAGTGGGTCGTGCCACCGAGATCAGCCAACGCGAGAGCTTGTATACCGGCAGTCGCTGCCTCAGCGCAGTGCTCAGGCTTGCCGCTCCGCCTTCACAGAGTAGTTCCAAGGCTGCAATGTCCGAGCATTTTTGGCCATACCCTTTGTAGTCGGCCCTGCATGACGGCTACGCTGCGTGATGACCGAGAACGAGTCTTTTCTCGGGTCGTGGCCTCGTCACCGCTTCGGCTCTCCCGAAGCGTCGTACGAGGTGCTTCAAATCAGTGCCGTTTGAGTCGTCTGCCGTAGTGCAATGTCTGCAGTGAGAATAGGACTGCCGTATTGATGCATTATCACTTCTATCTATATATCTATATATCTATCTATCTATCTATCTATCTATCTATCTATCTATCTATCTATCTATCTATCTATTGATTCATCT